ATCAAGAGAAAAGACAGAAATCAACGTGAACTAGTTGGTCAGTTTACACCTGTATCAGTGTTAACCTAAAAATAAAAGGCCAAAGTGAAAAGCAACAAGCGCTTATTTGAGATAAAAAAAGAGTAGCTATTCAGGACACACCGATCCAGGCAGAAATCCAAATAGTGTTCTGATTAGGAGACAAAAGTAAGGGGTACGAGAAAGGGAAGGGGCCAATTATATCAATAGAAGGAAGGCATTTCTATTGGTGTAGGAAGGCTAACATAGTGATGTTAATTCTAAAGAATGTTTTTCATTTTCAGTCTGTAGTCTTCTGTCAGTCTGGTAGTCACAATATCTGCTTTCTTGTTATCTTTGCAAACAGTTCTTTAGGCACAATGTCGCTTTAGGCCCCGGCCAAATGTTGTTTTGCCCTGTTTTAACACCCCAAAGGCTTGAGGCTTAAGTTACTCAGTCATGGCCTCTCCGCTCCATTTTAAAGTGAATGCTTTTGTATTCTTTTTTTTTTTTACATCAACATCTGAGAAACTTGGGCTTGTTTTATTTTTGTTTGTTTTTCAGTGTTGCTGTTTCTTGAGCCAAAGTAATTGAAAGGCTCAAATAATGGTCAACGTGGTTAACCTAGGACAGTGATGGTGAACCTATGACATGCGTGTCAGAGTTAACACACGAACTCATTTTTTTGGCTGATTTTTCTTTGTTAAATGGCATTTAAATATATAAAATAAATATAAAAAATATAAACCTTTGTTTTACTATGGTTGCAAATATCAAAAAATTTCTATATGTGACACGGCACCAGAGTTAAGTTAGGGTTTTTCAAAATGCTGACATGCCAAGCTCAAAAGGTTCGCCATCACTGACCTAGGACATATATGGAATACATATACGTGATGATGCAGATTGTCACTGGTTCTAAATATGGTTCTTCAGATCTTACAGTAATCACTGTTCCAAATGCTCCTATTTGTGGTCAGAGAAATCAGAAAATATAGATAGATAAATGATAGTCACCAAGTAGAGTGGGAAAAAGATGGGTTTTGGATCATACAGAAACTGCATTCAAATCTCACCTTTGCCATTTCCTAGCTATGTGGGCATGTTGCTGACTTGCATGTAAAAAAAAAGAGATAGTAAAGCACATAATCTATATGTAAAAGGCTAATATGCTAAGTGTCTGACAATCTGACCGGTTGCTATGACGCACACTGACCAGCAGGGGGCAGGTGCTCAACACAGGAGCTGCTGTGACGCACAGTGGCTGGCACCACGGACCTGGCACCGACAAACCAACACTCGGCTTCCCCCAAGTGGGACACAGGCCCTGCCACCACCCCGGAGTGACACCCCACCAAAACGCTGCCAAGACCCCATGGCGCAAAATGCGGCCCACAGCCCAGCCCAGCCCTGAAATGGTGGCTGTGGGTGCTGGGTAATGACATCACGGAGCAACGCCTGGCTTCCTCTCCCTAGCGATGACTAGCCTCCTTGCAGTTTCTTCAGCCCAGGAACACCACTTGCTTTATAGCCAGGTGCAAACATTTCACACTTTAACCAAATGTCTGTGAAGCATTTTCCCGTGCCTCATCTCATTTGATCCTCACAGAAGTCCTGGAGTAGGTAGATAGGAGACTTGGTGGAATCCTATTTTCTTTTCATTAGCCAGAAAATGGAGATTTAGAAAGCTTAGAAACTTGACCCAACTGAAAAGAAGAAATGGTGGACCTTGAAAATGACTTCAGGTTTTCTCACTGTGCAGAATATAGTCAAACACTGCTGCAGTTAAATATTTTACCCTTTGTTCTCCCTGTGTGATCTACAATAATAATTTGCTTCGTGTTGATATTTACTGCTGTGTTGCTGACAATTACCTGAAAGAGATGTTGGGGTGCTTCACTAGGCTTGAAAAAGTTTAGCTACATCAGAAATCAGGTCTCATTAAGCAAGTTTGTTCTATATCTATAAAAGGCTAAGTTGACTTGCTCATGCATGATACATATAAAGCTCTCACTGGTGCCAATCGCACGTGTGTGTTTCGATCTGTCATTGTCAATTGTGAATGTGGTTGGCACTTCTATTATAGAGAAAGGGCGAATAGCAATATTAAAATATTTCTTCTAATTAATTTCCTTTCAATGTGCATGAATTCGTGCACTGGGCCACTAGTAAGTAAATAATATAGTAACTGGCATAGAAAACCCTTGACTGTAGTTCTTTCTTATGTTTGTTAGCTTTTAGTTGTACCTAATTTTTTATTGATTGATTGATTGACTTTAGAGAGAGAGAGATGGAGAGAGAGAGGAGAGAGAGAGGAGAGAGACAGAGAGGCAGACATCAATTTGTTAATCCACTTATTTATGCATTCATTGGTTGATTCTTGTATGTGCCCCGACCTGAGATCAAACCAGCAATCTTGGCATATCAGGATGACACTCTAACCAACTGAGTTACCTGGCCAGGGCCAGATGTGCCTAATTTTTAAACTACTGAAGCACCAACAGTCCTATCAGCAATGGCTCATCCTTCTTCTTGCTTCTGTAAATATTTGGTCATTCACTTACTCATTTCCTCAGCAAACATTTATTGATCAATAACTATGTTAGATATTATGCTGGGTTCAGGGGGCCAACAGAGATGACAAAAACACATAATTCCTGCCCTCCACGGGCTGTCCTGGAATTTGGCCCCTGTTTTCTTCCCGAGAAAAAGAGAGAGAAAGCAAATGTAGCAAAATGTTAATAATTGGTGAGTCTAGGAGAAGGTATATAGATATGGATTGCACTTGTCTTTCAACCTTTCTGTGAGCTTAACATTTTTTAAAATAGAGTTGGAGAGAAAATACATTTCTGTAACTTGACAGGAATAACACTTGAAAGCCATTATTCCCAGTTTTTAAGCATGGAATTTATCAGATTATCAGTCACCTAGCCAGGTCTTAGGAGAGCAGCATAAATGTGATATGTTGGGAATGGGAGACGACAATGAGAAAGGCCTGGAAAAGTAACAGGAGTGGTGACCTAGAGCCACAGCAGGGGCCCCAGGGCAACTGGGCACCCAAAGAGTGAGAGGGCTAAACAGGAAGTGGAGGTGGAAACCAAGGGATGGCCTCCAAGCTTGAATCCTGCCCTATTCATTCTGTGATCTCCAGCCAGCCCTGAACTCTCCTCTCAGCATGGGGGCATTTGTCACATCTGGGCCATCTCCCTCCAACCACTGACCTTTGATTTGAGCATACAAGATAAATATGTCGGTTTTGGAGTCGGCAGCCCTTGTGTGAATCTCAGCCTTGCAGAGTGAACTTGGACAAGCTAGTCCTGTGGAGCCTGAGGTTTCTTACATGCAAATCCTTGATAGAATCGCAATAGGTTGCATGAGGCTGAGAGAATGTGTGTAAAGCAGTTAGCATAGGGCTTGTGCCAGGTACCTACTTAATACAGTATAACAACATATACGTAACCTTAGCCAATGACACTACTATCAATATACCCATTTCATGCAGAAATCTTGGCTTGATGCTTCTTTGCCTCAACCACCCCCACATCTAGTTCACCAGCATGTCTCCCCATCTTCCAAATTTCCTAAATCAGACCACTCTTCACTCTCCAAGGCTACATCTCCATCTTTTATCCAGTCCTGTGCACAGCCACCTGACTGCTCTTCCTGCTTCTATTCTGGTCCCTTCACCCCCAGATCATTTTCCGCAGCAAACATTCTTAAGATTAATGGAGAATGTCACCCTCCCAATTAATTCTTCTATGGCCTCCCATCACCCATGAGTAAAACACTTTACCCCTGACCTTGACCTCATGGGTCCTGCCCATCTCTCCAACCTTGTCTCGTAAGCTCTACCCAGGGCTTTCTGCGTTCTAGCCTACTGGCCTATGCCTGTCCCTCAAACACAGCAATGCCCACTCTCACCTCATAGCCTTTGTAGTTGTTCCCTCTGCCTGAAATGTACTTCCCCTGTGCCTTTATCTGGCTGCCTCCTTTTCCTCCATTAGGTCTCAATCAAAAGCTCTTTGCTCGGCGAGAACCTCCGTGACCACTCTATGTAAGGGTGTGTACCACACCATCCCCACTGGCCACCATGCCCTGTTTCACCATCCTTAAAGCACTTGTCATTCTCTAAGATGATCTCGTTAGTTCATTCAGCCCTTGTACATCCCCCTTATGGAATGAAAGCTCCAGGGAGCAGTAGACAGTAACCTTGTGTCTTGTTCACTGTCTGTCAGCTCAGGCTGCCAGAACAAAACACACAAACTGGAGGGCTTAAACAACAGAAATTTATTTCCTCACAATTCTGGAAGCTGGAAAGATCAAGGTGCTAGCAGGGTTTGGTTCCTGGTAAGACCTCTCTTCCTGGCATATAGACAGCTGCCTGCCTGCCGTGTTTTCACATGGTCTTTCCTCCATGTGTGCCCCTGCAGGGAGAGGGTATGAACGCTCTAGTGCAGCGGTTCTCAACCTGTGGGTTGAGACCCCTTTGAGGGTCGAACGACCCTTTCACAGGGGTCGCCTAAGACCATCGGAAAACACATATATAATTACATATTGTTTTTGTGATTAACACTATGCTTTAATTATGTTCAATTTGTAACAATGAAATTGGGGGTCACCACAACATGAGGAACTGTATTAAAGGGTCACGGCACAAGGAAGGTTGAGAACCACTGCTCTAGTGTCTCCTTTTATAAAGACCTTAATCCTGTTGGGTCAGAGCCATACCCTTATGACCTCATTTAACCTTAATTACTTCCTTTGAGGCCCCAACTCCAAATACAACCATATTGGGGATGAGTCTTTCAATATAGATATTTGGGGGGATATAAACATTCAGTCTATAACATTCACCATTGTAGCATTAACACCAGAACTTAAGAGAGAGCTTGGCATGTAATAGGCACTCAATAAATATTTGATAAATAAATCAATGAATTATAGAAGTTCACGCCACTGTAAGTCCATATAAGTTGCCCCACATCTAGCACTCCATCCTGCAGGTCAGGGCGTGTCACTGTACATTCCCCAGTCTGCCATCAATGCCACGGTGGAGGAAGACATCCTGCTCTCCGTGGAATACTCCTGCCATGGCATCCCCACCATCGAATGGAAGTATACATCCACCTGGGGGGTGCAGAGGATCGTGGAGTGGAAGCCAGGGACTCAGGCCAACATCTCCCAGAGCCACAAGGATAGAGTCTGCACCTTTGACAATGGCTCCATCCAGCTATTCAGTGTGGGCGTGAGGGATTCCGGCTACTATGTCATCACGGTGACCGAGCGCCTGGGGAGCAGCCAGTTTGGCACCATCGTGCTGCATGTGTCAGGTAAGACGGCTCCAGGGGCCCTGTGCGTGGGAGGCCGACTTCATGACATTAAAAAAGACTCATCTTCCCCCCTCCTCTTTCCCGTCCCCCACCCCACAGAGATCCTCTACGAAGACCTCCACTTCGTCGCTGTCTTCCTTGCTTTTCTCGCTGCTGTGGCCGCAGTGTTAATTAGCCTCATGTGGGTTTGCAATAAGTGTGCATATAAATTCCAGAGGAAGAGAAGACACAAGCTCAAAGGTAATTCTCGGGGCCTTGTGATAATCAGCTCATGCTTTCATGGCTGGAAGTAGCCCACGTTAGCTGGTTCTCACCAAAACCACCTTATGGCTGATTTGCAACTCATGGACTTGTCTTTTGCTTTGCAGAGAGCACAACTGAGGAGATTGAGCTACAGGATGTTGAGTGTTAGCCAAGGCTGAGCCCAATGACATTCCTACCTCAAGAGGAAAACTATTTTCCAGTGGAAGGAGCAAACATACCGATCCATGCTAAGAGCCTCCTGTTATCCTGCCACAGCCGCCCATTCCTGATGGGCCTGCGGGCCGTGGACAGAGTGGACTGCATGGAGTTGAGGACTCTGGATTGGACCAAGTCAGTTCTTGCACGTGCATGAAAGTCAAGGAGAAGAGTGCTTTGCGTGGCTGCAGCCCAGAGCTGTGCTAACCCGCGGGCAATGGCATAGGGCCAGCACTGGCTGCTTGTTCACTGTGCTCTGCTCGGCCCAGAATATAGCCATTGGAGGCGTCCCCATGCTGGAGGCCAGAGTACTCGAGGTCAGGTGTGCAGCCAGCAGGCTGTCTGTGCTCCTGCCTGCTCTGTTCTGCCCTCCAACCCTCTGCTGTGGGGCTGTTGTGAGAAAACGTGAGGCGTTTAGACCATCTGCTGCCCAAGACAGAGGTCGGACGAGACCAAGGGGTGCTGCTGTGCTTTAGGGAGTTGCTCAGAGAAGGGCGAGCACCCCCATGGCCTGGAACTTCAGGGAAGAGAGCTTAATTTGTTCTTGAGGGACCAGCATTGGGAACAAGGAAACAAAATTATCTTTCTTTTCCTGTCTTGGTCCAACATTAATGAATTTTCCCTCCTGTGGCCCCAGCTTCAGCCGGTGTGAGGAGCACAGTTTTCACCGTGGGCAGCATCTGGCCTGTAGGGGCCTCCTGCCCGGCTCTGTGAAAGCTGGGCCTGTGTAACGGGTGGTACAATAGGAAGTCAGCATGAGGATTCTTCAGTGATCTGAAAGCAACCAGCACTATACTGAGTACTGGAAACTGATGAAATGCTCTGGGGTGTTGGGCTCCCTGTGAAATTGGGGGCTGGATCTCAGCTGGCTTTGGCCTTATTCTCTCAAGTGTTGGAGAGCATGTTTACCTGAAAGTTTCTCCATCCCCGCTTCCATTTGGCAAGCTCTAAACCATGACTGCATTTATTTTCCATTATCTTTTCTCTCTCCAGTATTCTTAGCTACAGACCAAAGGTGCCATCTCAATTATTGGTGGAGGCTGAAGCTATTAGCTGAGTCCCCAGTCTTTAGCTGCAAATTCGCCCATGCAAAGCAGAGTAAGAATATTCCCTTCTGCCTGGCTGGTGCGGTTCAGTTGGTTGAGCATTGTCCCATGCACCAAGGGATCACTAGTTCAATTTCCAGTTGGGGCACATGTCCAGGTTGCAGGCTTGATCCCCATCAGGGGGCATGCAGGAGGCAGCCAATCAATGTTGGTGCTCTCTCATCAATGTTCCTATCTCTGTCTCTCTCCCTCTCCCTTCCTCTTAAGCTAAAAAAAAAAAAAAGAGAGAGAGAAACAAAGAATATTCCCTTCTCTCATCCCCCACTTCATGTCCTTAACATCCACATCTTTTCTACTTCCCATGTGGCAGAATAAGGAGTTGTCGGCAGAAGTTAGTCTGTCATCTTTCCTTGAGTAATAAATCCAGGCTTGCAGGAAGAAATCTTTAGCAATATTCAGACAGGAGCTACCAGAGATCTAGAGAAGGGCTCCGAAGGCACTACCTGACTCAAAAGGCAAGGGAGTAATTGGTCTGCAGAAGTGATTTGTAGGACTAGCTCTTGACAGAAGTTCCCACCTCAGGCCACCTCCTGCACACACACGTGTGAACGTGCACCCCTGTGCCCTTTCCCTGGGCAGCACAGGAGCCAGGCCTGTGCCAGGACAGGTTCCTTGTGCCAGTCTCCAGTGCCCTGGAAAGGCACGGGGCAGAGAACGGGGTGTCTAGGACCTGCTTATGTCTTTCTCCTTTCACACACTGCGCCCATCCGCGGGAAACCGGTTTGGATCCAGTAGCTCCTGGAGTCTGAGTCCTCTTTTACCACCTGCTTTTCAGAACTCTGCCTCTCAGCTTGTCAGACGTCAGGGGTGGAAATCTTCATAAAAGGAGAACTGGGAAAGAATGCCCAGTGAGAGGCCTCAGGGGCAAACCCAGGTGTCCATTAAATTGCCCCCCAAATATGTCATGAAAGGTTTTGCCTCTTCTTTCCATTTCTTTATTTTGCACTTTTAAAGCTCCCTCCATCCTGAACATTCCTATGGAAAGTTTTGATTCTAGAGCCTGAGGTTTTTGTCTGTTTTTCGAGACAGGAAAATATTAACATCAGAGAAGTTAGCCACTGTAAATGTTAAGCTAAAAGTTATTATGTTTCAAACTGTGAAGGTGTTTCAAAGAATGAAATAAAACCTGAAAATAAAGTTTTGCTCCTTTGTGTGTGACTACTGTCGCGGAGAGAGGCCCCAGGGCCAGGGTCCCACAGCTGCGGGCATAAGCAAACCCCTCAGTCAAGGTCATGGGTCTGGCACATTTCTATTTATTTGTTTTCATTTACTTGTTTCTGAGGAGAGACTTAAAAACCTTTTATTATAAAAATTTCAAACATGCACAAAAATGAAAAATTATAATGACTTCCCATGTACCAATTACCCAGCTTCAATAAAATTGCCAACTCATGGCCAATCTTGTTTCAGCTTTGCCTTCTCCCCAACTATATACTGCATGATTTGAAGCAGGCAGCCTGTCATTCATTTTTTAAAAAGATAGTGTCACCACATTATTGTCTGGGTTATGCATATAAGCATATATGTTCTTTGTTTAATCTCTTACAGCCCCTCCCATCCCCTCCCCTCTGAGATCTGTCAGTCTGTTCCATGCTTCTATGTCTCTGGACCTATTTTGTTTGTCAGTTTATTTTGTTCATTAGATTCCACATATAAATGATATCTGATATTTGTCTTTCTCTGACTGGCTTATTTCGTGCAACCTAAGATGACAATAGAATGGATCACATGGTTTCTAACAGTAAACATTCTTTAGCAGTTCAGAAAAACACTTTATTATTACCATCATTCTTCCTTCTATTTGAAGTTTTTGCTTCCAGATTATAAATCTAAACTCAATGGAGTTCTTTCTGCTCCTGAAAAGGGCTAAAATGGATGTGACCACTGTACCACCTCGTTCAGCGGTGCCTAGGACACTCGACAGAACATAGATGCTTTGTCAACAGAATGTCCCCTCAGAGATTGTGATCTAAGAAACCAAAAAGGTGTCCTTAAAGAACAGTGTGGAGCATGCAGGAGGCAGCTGATCAGTGATTCTGTCTCATCATTGATGTTTCTGTCTCTCATTCTCCCTTCCTCTCTGAAATCAATAAAAATATATTAAATAAATAAATAAATAATGCCTTAAAATATCGGGGAAAGGGAGACATATGAGGATCACATTGGTTTTCAGTTATTCCTCAGACAAAGCTTAAAAGAACAGGTGGTAATATCTGTGCATGTGTTCTCATGAGGACTCAAGTGTGGTCCTGTTACCGGCTCATGACAAGATAATCATGGGAACAGAAAATAAAGCACCTAGAAATTTTTATACCTGATAGCCATTTTGTCTTTTATAATAAAAGGGAAGCTTTATGCTGTATCTTTTTGAAATTTAAATTTTCTAGTGATTCATTTTTATTATATTTTTCAAAGTATCAATTTGCAATGGATGGAAGTTTTTGGTAGTTTATTAAAAGCTAGTCCTTTGATGAAAATTTGAGGTTCACTGCACTACAGTGTGAGCTTTTCAAAATCACGTAAGACTCCTCATGTGAGACGAACTGTACAGGAGAACTTGGTAAAATTAGTTAAGGCAACTTTTGTGGGCCACCATAACTATGAAGCACCAAAGAGTTTTAAAATAATTAACTGCAGATTCTTACCAACTATTTCAGTTTCCATGGATAGCTGTACCTTGATCAGAAAGGGGGAAAAAAAAGCAAAACATGGAGGTGTTATGGTATTTTATGGCTGACAAACTCCATTTTTCTTTTAAAAGGAAAAAATGGAGAAAACAAAGAACTTTTAAAAGTCATGTTATAAATTATTAAGAGTATCCTTTAAAAATTGAAAGCTGTACTCATAAAGAAACCACTATCTGTATATTATTTATAGTGGTACCAAAAGGCCCATTAGCCTAAATCTCTTAAGGGAAGTTTCTCAGGCATGTGAGGTTTGCGGCACTATTTCCAAGAATGCACACATGTTACTTATAAAATGTAATCCATTAATCCATTAGTATTTGCCCTATGAAAAAAGCAGAGAACTGATAGCAGAAGACAGGGCCAGACTTTAACTGAAAGAAGCGATCCAGGGCCACTGGGTGAAGGCTGGAGTCCCAGAGGCAGGGCGAGGCAGGAGCATGCCTCTCGCAGGGAGTGAGGACCAAAAAGCAATCCAAGGAAGAAAGTCCCAAAGCTGAGAAAGTCCTCATGGCGCCCATTCCTTAGACCCGCACATGCATACAGAAGACCTCTGGAGGAAGGGGCCCGTTAGAAGACCAGTGCTCGGTTTAATAGCTTTGGTAGGGAAGGGGGGGCAGGCTCCTTTGGTTGGCATGTACTTTGTTACACTTCAGGCAGAGGGTCTGTCTAGTGAATTCCAGTATGAAAGCTGTGCCAGTGTTTAAATATTCTTAAGCAATCTTTCTTTTAACAAATTGTGGACTGAGACCATTCGATTAAAGACACAACTCCTTTAGGCTGTTAAAATTCAGAAAGTATCTGGAATTTTTAACCATATGTTTTATTTGGTGTCAACATCAAAGGAATGTTTCAAAAAGCAAATTCAAACCCATAAGATAGTAACATTTCAAGTTAACTGCATAAAAATAGTATTATTTTACATTTCCCCATACTGTATACCCTATAACTAACTGTACATAAATTTCCACAAAGCATTCGTCACTTATAAAGTGAAGGTTCCAAAATGCTAAGTAAACGTTTGCCAATTACCATTTTTTAAAAACAATACTTCTTTGGAAGATTTCTCTTCCTTTTGCTTGTATTTGATCTGCAAATACCTCATGTCAAAGTTTCTGGAATCTTCCCTGGAAAAAAATTCTGGAAACTTCTGGAAGAAAATCATAGTAGACAAGGGCTCAGAGCAGACATAAGCAGCTCCATTTTATACACAAAGTTTCGACCTTCCATTTTATTCCACTGAACTTCTTTGAATGGGCCACGCAGATGATTCCATTTGCTATCTTGTAGAACATCACTTTTTGGGAGGTCTTTACACTGGTTACGTGGAAACTGAACCATAATCT